GTTACTTCATGTATTCAGATCCAGGTAGGAAAGATTTACTTCTGAAGACAAAGCTCTGCTATTCAAAAGTAAATGTAAGAAAATTTTAAGAATTATATATTATTGAATTTACAAGATAAGATTTGCAAATCAATTTAACCACAGTTGCTCTTTTGTTTCCATTCTTTCGGATCACTGACATTTTTACCCTAACTGAACTGTGTTGAGAGGAAGCCAGAATTTGGCTTTATAGTTGTAAGATTTTGAAAAAAATATTTTCTTCTTTCTTCAGAGTGGCAGGGACATTGACAGGGTAAAATGCCCATCCTCTTTTCAATCATAATATTTGCCAGTAAACTTTTCAAAAATGTGCCCCCAATAGTTTGTTGTTGTTGTTTTAACCCACAAGTGGAAGATCAATAGCAGTGTCCCTTATGGGACTTGATCATTAGGCCTTCTTCAGGTGGATTTCTTTATCATTAGATTACTAATGTCATACTGTCTTTGCTATCGAGGCCAGTTTTATTGTTTACTCTATCAAAAGATGCTGCAGTTCCATTATTCTTATGTAGAAGTATTACCATATTTTTTTTGATGGGAGAAGTCATTTCTACTTCTAGTTTATGATAATAATTTGATTCATGATATTTGGCATTATTGATGAACTCTGGTTTTAATGGACCTAGGATGTAATATTTTCATTGCAAACAGTATTAATGATGTCCAAAACACAGAGGAATTAAGGTCTTTAGAACTGGTAAGAAATGAAAAAATAAGTTGTGCCACAACATCTCCTCCCCTCTCAACCGTAGCTAATTCAAAGTTAAAAGCAACACCAACAGGGGGCACCTGGGTGGCTCAGTCGTTAAGCGTCTGCCTTCGGCTCAGGTCATGATCCTGGGGTCCTGGGATCGAGCCCCGCATCGGACTCCCTGCTCAGCAGGAAGCCTGCTTCTCCCTTTCCCACTCCCCCTGCTTGTGTTCCCTCTCTGGCTATCTCTCTCTCTCTGTCAAATAAATAAATAAATAAATCTTTAAAAAAAAAAAAAAAAAGCAACACCAACAGAATCTTCAGCCATAACTCAAGTTTAGTGAAGTTTCACAAGTGCTGACTTTGTCCTATGAGGATACTTTGATACTTCAGGTGTTTTTGAAATATACAATTTTTAAAAATCTGTTTTGACATTTCTGCTTTCCTTGGACACTACACATTTCTCTATTGGATAAGGCCACCATGGTCCATTCAATTTATGGAAATAGACAAGGATTTGGGAGATCCAGGCTTGAGTTCCAGCTCTTTGCTTTGTCCTCTGTTGTGTAACGATGGCAGTTCATTTCATCTCTTCATACCAATCAATCCACTTATCAGATCTGTTTAGCTACTGTTTAAAATAATGAATGCAAAAAGTCAATGAAAAATATAAAGCATTATATAAATCTAAGAAAACAAGTCTGGATTCTTAGGAAAAAAAAGCATTTTTATGAAAGAGATGCCTCATAATTATTTACATGATAAATAGTGTTTGGTCATTAGTTTATAAATTTCTATATGGTTAGGTTCTCATCCTTCCTTTGGATGTTAATTTCTATTAATAAGCAATATATGTGCCTTGTCATAAGGCAGTTGTCTTTTTAGTGTTTAGTTCAGAGAGAGCAAGACTAATATCCATTCGTGTTTTGTTTTGCTTCTTATTACTAACAAGATGCAGTGTTTCTGCATGAACAAATTCTAAGTAAATACTCTCTATCCTTCCAAAATATAAAGATATTTCTAAGAATACATTTTCAAGTGAAGTATTAATCTCATCAGTGTTCTTGAAAATGTTCTGTCCTCTATATTCAAAGCTCACTTTCTATCCCAGAAACAAATAAGTGGATTAGATTTGAAGAGTGGGTCAAGGAAAAAGACATTTATGCATGATTAAAGCATTTTATGTAATTAATTATGGTATTGGTAGAATGGTATTTCAAGTATCCAAGTCAAAATATTTTTCAATTTTGGTCCTTTACTTCCAGGTTTTATTTGCAACAGCTAGTACATATTGCATAAAGGATGTTAGGACTTTGATGAATGGACAGCAGAAGAACACATCTCTGAGTTTTATCACCGCTTATGAATATCTATTTAAAGTTGACTTAGCATCTCAAATGTTCACTCCCAGCAAATGGAAACAGAGCCTTTCATTAGAGTAGGAACCATAAGGGCGTTTAGCCCCTGCCTCAATTTCTAAAGAGGCTTCCCGTGTGGGCTTTCAATGTTATCTCTAAATGGGGTTACTGGAGGGTACCGACAGGATCAAAAGACAGGGCTTTAATTATGAAATGTATTTATTCAAATGTACCATAATTTAAGAACTTTTTAAGGATATTTCTTCATTTTTAAAAATACTCTACGTACTTCAGCAATGAAGGTTGCCTAGGATTCTTAAATTCAAAGAAGCCGGGGAGGAAAAATTCTAGATAAGGAAAAAGAAATTATTTTCCGTCTTCACCTGCATGGCCAGAGAAATATTATTTCAGAAATGAGTGTGAGATGTGATGAGTCTGTTCTGGGGGTCTTTTGTCCTTGTGCTTAAGAAGACTCCGGGGTCTGCGGGCCCCAGTGAGCTTGAGGTGGGGAAGAAAGGACTTGAGGAGAGTGGGATGCCTTGGCAGGTCTCCCCATAAAATGGATTTTGAACACCAAGAAAAATCCCCCCAAGTAAGTGCTTTTATCCACTTACATAACATGTAGTGACATGCCAAGTGCTGTGCCAGAATAACATTGCAGAGAATAGTGTGATAAAAGACTTGCTGAATTTTTTTTCTAAGATACAAAGTGGGACTTTATATTTTTTCCATGTACACATGAACACAAACATATTTGTGACCCTTACAGGTACTCTATTTTTCAGAGTTAAACTATAAAAGAAATGTAATATGATTAATAATAATTATTTAAAAAATGGATTTGGGGCGACGTAATGCTAGGACAAGTAATACAGTTGAGTCAGGTCAATGGTGAATCTGTCTAGAAGGGATTCCTACACAGGTGCCTTCTTAGCATGGGGAAAAGGGCAGATTGTGGAGAGCATCAGGACCCTGGAAGCAAATTCAGGATGTCTTCAAGTCCATCATTTGCCCATCATTTTTTCAATGGAAGGTTTCTCTTTTATATAAGTAGAGAAAGATATAATAGAAATCCTCTATGAAAATCAATCGGACATTCTTCTCAAATCCTCTTTGTTGAATTTACTGGTCAGCCCCATAGTTCCAATGGACTATGACTCCATGTGAGTTAAAATATCAGGACCAGGCATGTCTCATGGATTTTTTTTTTTAACTTCGGAATTGCTTTAATGTAGGTTTTCAGAGAGTCAGAAAAAAAGAAAAAAGATCTTTAAGTTAGATAAACAAATCAGGCAAAGGTGTGAGTTCCCTCAGTAAAATAGATGAATAGGAATCAAATTTGTGTGTGTGTGTGTGTGTGTGTATGTGTGTAGTTAAGGGAAATAACATAAGAGAAAGTGAGAATTTAAATTGTGTATATATTTCCTTATTCAATAACTAATATAAAACAGTTTGATGAAATACTTTCAAATTGTTCTGTTTATTTTTCTCTCATGATTCTTTGTACAGTATGAAGAAGTATATTTTAAAACCGGACAACAAATTTTAATTTACAAAGGATAGTTATATTAAAAACCCTAGTAGAGTTGAATTTTAATACCTGTGTATGGATAAGCCACAAGAGATTTTAATTGTGGACTTATACCTTCTCTTTGGTATTCTTATGGCTTTTTTTGCCCTGATCTAGGATAAGTGATGCAAACTGATTTTATTATTAAATTCAAGGCAAAGTACGCTTTACAATTTTGGATTTTAATATGTGGGGTTTCTTCAATGGTGTGCTCTTTCTACAGCATGAATAAGTAAAAGTTGATCCCATCACTATTAATGGAATTGGTGTAGACTTGTACTTAACTATACACAAACTGCATATTTTCTTTCCTAGCTACAAACTTAAAATACAGTAGTGTTCGTAACAGCTGTGCATGCACCTGAGAAATTGCCTGTAGCATTTATGTCTAATTCCCAACTCATTTCTTCTTCTTTATCTCATATTTCATGTACCAGTGTTAGTATGATGGTGGAAGACTAATGCCCTGTATCACACTTCTTAGTAGCACTGCCTGAGTCCATGTCTGCTTTTATTTAGAGAAATTTAACTATCTGTCAGCTTCCCTTCAGGAGTTATTTGCTTTGATAAGAGAAATACCTTGGTTTTTGAAAAGTTAATATTTTAAAAATTACTGACGAGAGTATTGATTTCTAATGTGATTCTAGATCATGTTTCTGAAAATAGAAACTCTGTATAGGGTATGGGGAAAGCTTGCTCTGACCCTCAGTGTGAGCTGTTGTGGACATAAATTATGAAAGACTGACATAAGATAACAAATGGAAGAAGTGGCCAAAATGCATTTCCAGGTGTGTCATTTTCTGTGGAAGGGATGATTCACTGCAGTAAATATGTACGAGTTCTTAGAATTATCTGTTATTTTCAATTAAAATGTTTTGAAAAGCCATAACGAAGAAATGCTCATTAATGCAAAGTCCAAAGTTTCTTGTTTCTAGTTGGGGCTAAATTTTTTAAAATATATGTAAAATTGGATAAAACTATGGTGGTGCTAGCAGTAAGTTTAAAAACAACATTGACAATTTTTAATAAGGAAAATTCACTATAGACTATCTGCACACTGTGATTACTTTTCCTAAAAGAAATGCAGAAATATAAACAGATATCCATCCAGATGTGGTTGATTTTTTTTTCTCCACATCACCTTATTAGCTATTATTAAGACACATGCAATCAAGTTGGATAGATATTTCTTGAAATGATGCATGGTATGCAGTGCATGCTTTCATTGTGCTTCCTGCCATTATGGAATAATGCGTCTTATTTGGAAATACACTGATCATTTCTGTTGACTCAGGCTCAGTCAGCTTATATAATAACACCTCTATTTTATGAATCATTTCAGATTTCAGAGAGCTATGCCTTCCTACCAAGAGAAGCGGTGACACGGTTTCTAATGAGCTGCTCAGAGTGCCAGAAAAGAATGCATTTAAACCCAGATGGAACAGATCACAAAGGTAGCCACAGTGTCAAATAGTGAGACTTAAAGTAATTCTATTCATAGTGGCAATTTATATCCCACATTTTTATAAAAATGTGGCAGACTGAAACAGTTCAACAAGTCAGATCATCTCATTTATTGGAGTAGGAGGCAGTGAATTTTGAATATCCACTTCCAGAATAATTCTGTGCCCATTCTCAGAAGAAAGGCAGTTTTGGCTGTGGCAAATAATTTTTTTTCCTATAATAATATTTTAGCTTTCACATATTGTGTGTATTTCATGGTATTTTAAATATATTTAGCAAGGAAATTGATGTTCCATCAGTGTCCTTTTAAACCTACCAATTCCTTATTTGTGAAAGTGATGAGTAGTATGGAGCTCCCTAACTGAAAATTTTTATATGCAAGTTATAATTTGTCTTTAGCTCTCATTAAAAATTATTTAGATGATTTTCCTAATCTATCAATTTCTCTCAGAGTTTAAATTCATCTCAAAGATACATTTAGGTTAGCCCACTCCCATATGTTGGGGGATGAATAGACAAAAAAGAAAAAGATAAAAGAAAAAAAACTGCACAAATTTCCTTTTTCACTCAAGTAGCACATAGAGAAAGTAGTTATGCAGCAAAGGAGAAAAATACAAAAATACAGGTAATTGTGTTTAATCACTATATTGGCTTGACCCACTGTTACTGGGGTATCAAAAAGCTCCCCTAGAGTTAGAGGTAGCTAATTTATCTGTAGCGTTAATTTGGCCCATACACCTTTTCATGGTTATTTTTTTCCTACAACCCATCCATAATGCTACCAATCTCCTGAAGACTTGGTATCTAGAATCCTATTTCAATTTGAACAAATTGAATCATTCTGAAATTATAGGTAGAATGTGGTATCACTTTCATACCCATTAAAAATGTTTCATTACAGATAATGGAAAACCTCCCACTTTGGTGACCAGCATGATTGACTACAACATGCCCATTACCATGGCCTATATGAAGCATATGAAATTGCAGCTGCTAAACTCACAGCAAGATGAGGTAAAGCGGAAATATCTACTTCCAAGTCAGAATGAAGTTTGATAACCATGACTATTGTATTAAGCATGATGGCATTGTAAAGACGGTAATTTATTTTTTAATGAAAGGAGTGTCACTGGGATTGCACAGATGGAGAAACGGGCAGAAACTTCTAGTCCTTGACAGAGAGTCCCTGTCTCAACGCAGCTACCTTAATGCTCTGTGGGAATGTGTTCGTTCCCAAGAAAGATTCATTTCACTTAATTAACTGCCATCAAGCCGGCCTTGGTAAAGGGCTAGAAAGTTCAGGGGAAAGCATCCCGAATGAGTGAGTATCCAAGGAAAGTATCCAAGCCTTTAGTACGAAGGCTATTTTGCCTGGAAGTAAAAAAAAAAAAAAAAAAATCATTTTAATAGGTATTTCAGGTATAATAATTTTTCCACCATCAAAATCTTTCATACGTTTTAATGCTTTTTTTTCCCTTTCATTAGTCTATATATTAGTTTGTCTACTTCTCCGCATTTTCTAGAGATAAGTTCGGTGATTCTTCCTAATTAGAGGTATTTCGATGTTTCAAGTTATTCTGTTTAATTTGTATGGTAAGAATCTAGAAATATGCTTGCTGGCAGGTATTAGACACAAATGCACATTTGTTGAATATTCTCCAGGATACTAATGAACTATTCAGTTTGGTGGAAGTGTCTCAAAGACAGGGACCAATTTATATATATTCCCCCCAAAACCTGTAGCAATAGGGACTTGGGAAATCCTTGTAAACTAGTTTAGTAGTCATTAACTAATGGGCACATTTGGATTATCAATATTAGGAATAGGTTCACAGGCTAATACATACACTGCTTCTTGAAATTTCTCAAGAACAGGAAATGTGGTTAAATATTTTTCAAATACAGCATTACTTGGTGAAGTATTATAAAATTCTTTCAATATTACTTTGTTGAGCTTACTTTATTAAAACTCGTTTTTTTTGTTTTGTTTTGTTTTCCTCTGTATTTGAACAGGTTTAATCTCAAAACTATATTTATAAATTTGTTTGATCTCAAAAAACTAGTAAGGGTACACTCTATGAGATGATCTGCATTTGTACGATGGCAGTTTGGATTTCATATTACCAGATGGCTACATATAAATGATTAAATAAATAGTAGTAAAATCATTGGGTTAAAGACGTGAGAGATAACTAAAAAAAATATTAATGTCTATCTATCCCAGAGAATGGAAAAATTATTCCCATCACTTATTATATAATTGGAAAAAAATTTAAAACTTCATAAACTAGTTAGAGCTGTCAAATTATTTGTAGGAAGCTCATTCAGATGTTGGTACATTTATTTCTAGGCTAAAAAGTAAGAAGATCAACTTTGTGCCAACAATACAGCCTACACATGCTGAATCTTTCTGGCTTCTAAAAAATCATAAGTATTTCACACAAAGGAAGTAGATCCTTTTAATTTATAACTGGATTAGGAAAATAACTCTCATCTTTACGTTTTGAAGATACCAATTGGATGTACACTGCCTTAAAAATATTCAGATAAGTGACTGCATTTTTTGCAAAATTTTAGAAGTCATGATTATCGAAAGATAGGAAGGTGATTAAGTAAATCACATAAAAAAGGAATTCAAGTGATACATTTCTTTGTGATCAGTTATATTTAAATTTTAATGTGTTAATTCAATTAGTTCAACAAATGTTTATTGACTACCTTCTATGTAACTGGCCCTCTTGTAGATAATGGAGGTAAACAGTGAGTAAATTGACAAAAATCTTACGTTTATTAAACTTAACTTCTAGTGAGGGGGAGAAAATGAAGTAAGTAATGAAAGTGTGTTTGTAAGAAGATGCGAAATGCTATTAAGAGAGAGAAAGACAGGAGTGGGAATCCCTTTAAGATTACAAAATACTTTATCCAATGTAAGATCAGTTGACTTTCTTATAAATTGTTGACGGAGTTTAAACCAGGATAAACTTACAGGGAGGAAGTTTGGCAGTAATTATTAAAAGCTTTTAGAAGTTACCCATATGCTTTGACTAGAAATTTGTACTAAGGGATGTGGTGAATAAAACAATTTATATATTAGGATGTTTGTTGCATTGCTAATGGTGAATAATTGGAACTATTTTCAAGATCCAACAATGAGGAATTGTCAGATCTTCACTGACCAATATGATAGCCACCAGCCCATATGTGGACATTTAAATTTAATTGAAAATTAATTAAAATTAATGAAAATTAAATTTTCAGTTCTTCAGTTGCACTAACCATGTTTCAAGTGCTCAATAGCCAAGTATGGATGGTAGTCACCTGACTGAATAGGGAGTATTATAGAGCCATTCCATCAGCACAGAATGTTTTTCTGAACATTACTGGCTGAATAACCAGCATTAGGGGCACCCCTGGAGCTTAGTGAGCTGCATGTTGCAGGTCCCCTCACCCCAAGATTCTGATTCTAGACCTAGTGTGTGACACCTGGTGATCCGAATTTTTAACAGTATCTACCCTCATGCACACTAAGGTCTGAGGTGGTACATTTCATGGGAAGGCTAATAATATAGGCTTTAAGTTGATTTGGGCATAAGGTAAGTGAAAAATAGAACAAAGAAGGGATTGGTGAGAGCAGTTTTCAGGCAATCTTATGGAAACCCCTTAATGTTTGATTGAGCAACTTACACATTACTTGGTAGATTTGGATTGACTTGAATATAGCTGCAAATTTATGAGCAGAGAAGGCACTCTCTGAAGTGGAAAGATTAATTTAACAGTAGTCAATGAACAGGACTGGTGGGGAAGAAATTGGAGGGGGGTAGATAACTAGGAGACTATTATTCATCATTCAGGAAATGGGAACATGAGCTCAGGACGATACCAATGGAAATGGAGAGTTACATGGTACAGACTCTTTAAAGGTAAAATCTGGAACTTGAAAACTAAAATAAGATATGGAACAGATCAGGGATCTGAATTTCAAGCAACTGTCTTAAAAGGAAAAAGACGGGATAAAATTATTATAGTAAAATATTTATTCTAATTTTTAAAAATTAAGTTTTAGGGAAGCAAATGCTATGATAACTGGCCATAGCTTTCATTATGATAAGATTTTAGTAACATAAGGAATAAGGTCACACTGTAGGATGTGAAGACTTTTTCTGGTTATCATTCAGAATAAAATACTCACAGAGGGAAGAATTTAGATGAATGGCTTACAGATGATCATGAATAAAATAAAATACTTAATATCATTTCAATAAAGTTTTCTGATTCTTCACTCTTAGAAATCTTCAGTAATTTCTTTCCAGAGTGATTAGCATTGCCTCTATGTTGATAATAAAAAACCCACAGTACTGTATTTTATAAACTTTTGCCACCTCTTAAAAAACAAACAAAAGATAGTAATTTAATCATTTAATAATTGGAATAGAACTTACAGAATGAATGCATGCACTTAGTTTCATTAAAGGTCTTAAATCTAAGCAATTGGATAATTTATATTCTAATGAGTAGAATTGGGAAAAGTGAATTATATTTCTATAGGAAATCATGGAGGAAAATATTTAAGATAGTCACAATCATTAAGCCACTTATGATAAATAGAATGGTGATTTTTTAAAAAAATAAGTACATTTGGTTATATAACCGTTTAATTTATTGTCCACATTTCTTAAAAAGCATGCTGATATGAGTGTTATTTATAGCTGATAAAATGTTGATTATTCATAATGCGTTATAGAAGTTTATATAATCATTCTGTGGATTAGAGATTGTGATCTCTTTGTGTCTAGCTTTTCTTTAAACACACATACAGTCTCATATACACATACGTTTTACACACACACATGCATACACATGCACACATAATATATATCAGATGGTATATATTGGAAATTAGCTATTTGTAGTATATATAATAAATGTTGATTCTAAAGACTATGTTTATATAGAATACACAGCTATTTTATAAATACATGTTGGTCATCTTTACTATTAAATTTATTTTCTGTATGTGTTCATAAAATATTATCGATATGAATCCTATTATATGCTGTAGGGTTTCCTATATAGTGTACATAAAAATATTAAACAGTTTTATACTTATTATATATCTGACATTGTTCTCACTACTTTAAATATTATTATATTTCCTTAATCTTTATATATAGCCCTATGAGATTGATGCTATTATTCCCATTTTATAGATGAAGAAATTGAGGCACAGAAAGGTTAGGTAACTTGCTTAAAGTAACATATTTAAGTGGCAGAGCATGGGTCTAAATCAGTTCAGTCTGGCTCTAGAGAATGTGCTCTAAATTACTATCATATTGTAGACACTACATATAGTGTATATAATAAATATCTGTCACTTATGTGTGCATATATGTGTATGTATATGTATATGGTACACACTGATAACATTGATGTGCACATTGAATTCTGTTATTTTTTCTCTTTTTAACATATATATTTATTTCAGATGCTTTGGATTTTCTTAGAATTTAGAATTGGAGAAAACATAATGTACCGAGAGAGAGGGCATGCCGCCGGGAGAAGTCTATGTGGCTGATTGCCCAGAGGCCTCGCAGGGTGGCATTTCCTTGCTGAATTAATGAAGAGCTAGTGCTACTCAGTAGACCCAGACATGATCAGACCTTTTGTAAAGGAAGGACACCAAAATCACCTTGACCTGACCTATGGATCAGAATGCCAATTTGTTAGTCTACTAGAACGTTCCTGTCCCCTAACCATAGCAACTTCTTTGCTGAAAACAAGATGTCATTTATGAAGCCAAGGTAACTCTTCCTATTCAAAGAAGCTATTTTCTCAAGCCTGAGTGACTCCATATAAATCCCGGTTCTGGTATATAATAGTGGGATACATTCTTTAACTGCTCTGTGCCTCAATTTCTCAATCTGTAAAATGGGATGAATCCTGGGACCTGACTCACAGGTGGTGATAAAGCTGAAGTGAGTGAACAAATATAAAAAAACAGTTATCTGTAACATTAATAGCACTACAACTACAGCTGCTGCTAATTATTATATTAATGCTAAACTTTCAGATCAGACATTTATAAATTAAAGTCAAACCTGGTGATTTTGATTCAGTACTTACAGTATGTCAAAGCAGATTCCTCAGGCCCCTCTTCCTACATAAGCCCACCATTGGCCAAAAATCAATTCTCCAACAGGAGTTCGCTTCAGTAAAATGGCTACAGCAAAATATCTTAGATTGGATTTAAGTTCATTTTTGTCAGGTTTTGATGAACTGGGTGTTTGGAAAACTGGCCTTTTTGGTAATTTCTCCACTTGGTGACCTGGCTTTTGGGAAATGGGTCTTTCACACTTCTATCCAGAACTTCTTTTTGGGGTTACAGTACAGTGTATATTCACTTATAACGAAAGAAGGGATGTGCTAAAACCTTGCTGTCAGTAAACGTGTATTTTCAATCTAGCCATGTAAGTTTGTCAATTATTAGAATCCATACTGTTTGCCAATGACAGTATTTTGGTTAAGGTTTTCTTACTACATCCTAAGATTTTTGCTTATAATATTTTATTAAGTAATTTATTTTTAGACTCAAAACATATACTTCTCTATATTTTGTATTTTGTGATTTGACTCTTCTAGGAAGTTTTTACTAATTAAAAAAATCCATTTTTCATTATTTAGGATAATTCACCAACTACATCCTTCCTAAACACGTTATTTTACCTTTCAAATATGCCTGTGCATAGATACATTGTTTGATTTTTCACAAATCTTGAAATTCTTTAAAGGGAGAAATTATTACATTATTTGTTATTTCAGGTATCTATTAATATGTAACATGTTTTGCTGAGTTCTGTAAAAGCTTACTTTCTGGCTAAACTCTAATTGACCCTGTAGATAAAATGGTCACTATTTGAATGTGTTATATTTTATGATGCTTGATGATATTTTAAAACCATTTTCAGGATGAAAGTTCAATAGAAAGTGATGAATTTGATATGAGTGATTCAACACGGATGTCAGCTGTGAACTCCGATCTTAGCTCCAATCTTGAGGAAAGAATGCAAAGTCCTCAAGCTCTTCATGGCCAGCAAGATGGTAAGCCTTTCAAACTGAATAAACACAACAACAGAAATCTGAGTCAGAATGTATGAAAACATCTTATTCTCTTGTGCCAATTTTTTATCTGTTCCTACAGGGACTTTGTACGCTCAGGTTCCATTATCCACTTTCACTATTTTTTGGATTCAAGTATTTTGTTTAAAACTAGTGTGACAGACTGATTTATAAACAGATGTTAGTTACAAAAATCCAAGCTTGGCCACGTTTTGCTCCCTGAACATAAAATGTGTCGTATCAGTGTGGTTTTGGTTTCTGCAATGTTTCCTAGCTTTGGTTTCTTGAGCCATAATAACTAAGAGTTTAAAAATGATCAGAAGAGTAATTTGGATGTTTTAATTTTCCTAAAAGACAAAATTGTAATTAAAAAACAACTTACATAAAAGGACAGTTTTACCAAAGTGATTTTGCTGGGTAAGGAGATTTTTGCTGGGATTTTGACCTACTTTATTCAGCAGTAAAGGGAAAAAAAAGATCATGATCTCTTATTCCTGGGTCCATTGACAATCCCTGAATTATCCAATTGTTCTTGACAGGAAGAAAACTGGATATGAGAAAGTACACTAGGCAGTTAATGTTTTAAGTCTCCTATTTGCAGAGATCTTTTAAAAATTATTTTGTAGATTTCTATCTTTGTAAGTATAGAATAATGTGTGAAAATAAATGTACCTTACGAGGGTCATTGTGAATGAAAATGAAGGGTTATAAATAAAAGGCAAATGGCCAATTTTATTCAACATTAGTTTATTATTCCTGTAATTAACAAGTTTACATGAACTTTTTTGGCTGTATAATTTTGTGCCTACATCTGTAGATAGGGAAATGAAACATTTTTCTTGCTTTCTCTGATACTTGCTATTAAAAACTGGTTGTAAAAGATTATTCCTGGATTTCTAGTGGCTATTAGTGATCTGCTTTTGCTGTCAAGGTTTAAGAAATCCGTAGTTTTAAGTATACCAAAAGTTCAAAAAAAAAAAAGTGGCAAGGGTGTTTCTTTTTCACAGTTCAGATGAGTCTAAAAGATGTTGGTGTCCTTGGCATGAATTACAAGGAAGAAGGAGTGCGTTGATCAGTGGCCTTAAAATCATATCTTACCCACTACAGAGTAGCATAGCTATTGGGATAGAAAGGACATTTACTTGGGAAATTTCTAAGAATGAAGTTTTTCTGGTTTGGATATAAATTATCTTTTTAAAAATTATTTACTTATTTATTGGAGAGAGAGAGAGAGAGAGAGGGAGAGCACGGAGGGAGACTGAGGGAGAAGCAGACTCCCCACTGAGGAGGGAGCCTGAGGCAGGACTCGATCCTTGCACCCTGAGATCATGACCTGAGCCAAAGGCAGATGCTTAACTGACTGAGCCACCCAGGCGCCCCCATCTTTTTTCTTTTAAAATATGAGTAGATGTCTTCAGATTTTGATTTTTTATTGGAGATTGTCTAGCACTGGGATCATAGCATAACGGAAATATGTATCAGTGATATATCACTCTACTAATATTTGCTCATGTGTTTTGCCTGTTTATACCATCATCTTTTTTAGTCTATAATTCTAGAGAATGTAAATAACAAGAGGATGTGATGCAAATTCATGGTTTTCTTGTTTGAAGTTGCAGTTGTGGATCTTTGGCTAGGGAATAGCTGATGTGATATAAATCTGTATTGATTTTAATAAAATCCAGTGGAATAATTTCAAATATTATTTACTCTGAGGGGAAAGTACTTTCTCATCATATATCAATGTATGCCTCAAGGATAAGGACATATCTAGTCATTCCTTCTCCAACCTAAGCCTAACCCTTCCTGCCTTTTCCTCACACTTCTCACTGAGTTTTCTCTTGCAGGTACTTCTATTCTTTTCCTACATACAAGCCTGGTGTAATAAATGTCCTTTTTAGAAAGCCTCCTCTGATCCCATTGTTACCTTCCATTCCATGCCCCATTCCTCTGCACCATTCCCACAACACACTTTCCAGCAAAACTCATTTAAGGACTTGGCTCATCATCTCCACTTTCTCCCTTCTGCTCCTTCTGCTCATCTCGGGTAAGCTTTCATCCTTGCCACTCCACATTGGAGAGCCCTAGGGTGCAACCCTTAACTCTCTCTTCCCCTACATTCACTCTCTAGATGATCACATTGAATCATGTAGCTTTTAATACCATCTGTACCCTGATAAATCCCAAATTTACTTCTCCAAGCCCTGATATCTTTCCTGAGCTCAGGACTATCTCCCCCAGACACCTATATTTTAATATTCTTCAGAAGACTTATCATTGTATGAAATGATATTATTTTTCTTATTTATTAGCTGTTTCTCTTCTAAAATACAAATGCCATATTAATGAATAGATCTTATGTTTTTGATTTTCCTTTCAGTTGTTCCATTTGAGGTAGTTCTTGAATGCCTCAATATTAAAAAAATGAAAATATAACTTTTTACCATTATCATGATTTGCCACATAAATTTTACATGTTTTTTTCACTTTTTTTATTTTCTCCTTTCCCCTGACAGTAGCACTCTCCTAGGGAATCCGCATTGACCAACTACTGTATCATTCCATTTCCTCTGTACTTATACACACATACACACACATGAACACACCCAGACACACACACAAACATATGTACATACTCAGAAGATTTTCTCACTGTTCTTTTATAAAAATAAGTTCATATCATTTACACTATTCTGTATCTTGTTTTTCTCATCCAATATTACCTTTCTTTTAGAGCTTCCTATAGACGAATACATATATTATGAAATCCCTATATAATGGTGAGCAAAGACATGGTCCCTACCTTCATGTAGCACACAATCTAAAGGAATAAAATTGTACATGACGTCACTCACGTTTGATTACTGTTCATCTACCCAATGTGGGGAAATTCCAGCCTCTGTAAAAATAAGAATCGTGGTAGTAAAATTTGTAGTTTATGTCTATCTTTCTTAAGTTAGTGGGGACTCTGAGTGCTAGACATATATTGGATCTAGGGGGTATTACTTTCTTGTAGATGGTGTACATTGATATTTGAGAGTAGTCAGAAGTTGGGGGACTTAGGATATAACAAATCCAATTTTGGGTGGGCAATCCACATACAGCTTCAATCTAGAGTAGTCTAGTCCAGAGTTTCTCAACTTGGGCAAGATGGACACGGCATTCATTGTTGTGAGGGGTATCTGTGCATTGTAGGGTGTTCAGCGGTGTCTCTGGCCTCCACTCACCACGTGTCAGTATTAAATCCTGTCTCCCAAATTGTGACAACCAGAAATGTCTCAGACATTGCAAATGTCCCATGGGGGAGCATAATCTCCCTAGGTTGAGACCAACTGGTGGAGGCAGAGAAGGAGGGTCTGAATAAGAATCCAGTAAGATGGAGATTGAAGAGACCTAATGAAGAGAAGTTTAGAAGTGGAGGTTGGAGAAGAGTCGAGGAATCGTATTAAGTCTACTTTCTGAGATAACAGAAATGTTCTATATCTGTGCTGCTAGTAAGATAGTCACTAGCCATGCTGCAGCTATGGAGTACTTGAAATATTGCTAGTGCAACTGAGGGACTAATGTTAATTTTAATTTGATTTAACTTTAATTAATGTTAACTTAAGTTTAAATAGTCACATGTGGCTGGTGGCTATTGTGTCAGGTGGGGTGGTCTAGACTATTGTTTTACTGTGACTTGGCAGTTAAATGCCTTTCTCTGTAGCCATGGGTTTGATGTTTCTGAAGTCTTTAGAGAAATTATAGGTGAAACTCACATTTTAACAGTCAGCTGGAACCCAAGTTTAATATTTGTAGAATATGAATAATGTAACATTTTAAATTTTAAATTAAAAGGTTCTATTTTCTTTACTACTAAGTGATCAATTTATTATTGTAAAGAAATTGAAATACTGTGATTTTTAAAAATCTTTCCCTATAACTATAACGCAGGTAGGTATAATAATGTCTTTATTAGACAAATGGAGAGTTAAAAATCCCTTTTTAAAGTTTTTTTTTCCTCACTGTGGTTATGAAAGATTTGCAATTTAATCAGTACGAAGGGAAATAATACAAAATCATTTGGGGGATATATGTATATTATGTGTGTTGGAGAAAGAGAAGAAAAGAAGAGAAATATCTTGCCACTGGGCTAGATATTTAGGTAAAGTTCAAGAAGACATAAACTGGAACGAAGAATTTAGAAGAAGGAAAATTGATGTATAATATTCAGCTTTTGTTTATTTTAAGCTTATAATGCTTCCCTAAGTCAACAACAACAAAAAAATAAAAGTAAAAAATGCGCAAAACCCCTGAATCTTAGCATAGTAAATATTTAACCTATTTTACCTTTAAAATATTGAGGTATAATTGACATATAACATATTAGTTTCTGGTGTACAACACAATGGCTTGATATAGGTATTTATTATGAAATGGTCACCACACTAAGTCTAGTTAATATCCATCACCATACATACTTACAGTTTTTTTCTTGTCATGGGAAGTTTTAGAATCTCCTCTTTTAGCAAGTTTGAAATAAGCAATACAGAATTATTAACTGTAGTGACCATGCCATACATTGTATCCCCAGGACTTATTTTTATTTTATTTTTTTATAACTGGAAGCTTGTACCCTTTGTCCACCTTCACCCAATTTTGAGTAAAATATATTAAGCTATGTAAAACTTTACAGACTTCAAATAATTCCTGCAGGCTAAAATCATTTAAAGATTCCATAGTCACTTGAGTTAATCATAAAAGCAGGAGGTCCTTGGAGCTATCATGAAACATAAGTAGCTAATTGTGAAAGAGGCTCTCCTAGGCAATGGCTGTGGTTTACAGGATTCCAAAAGGTATTCCAGATCAAAAAGCTTAAATATGGGGGCACCTGGGTGGCTCAGTTTGTTAAGCGACTGCCTTCAGTTCAGGTCATGCTCCCGGAGTCCCGGGATCGAGTCCTGCATGGGTCTCCCTGCTCAGCGGGGAGTCTGCTTCTCCCT